AAAACAACTCTGTACCTTCCTAGGTATGGCAGGTTTTTGCCCACTGTGGATTCCTGGATTTAGCTTTTTAGCCAAACCATTTTATGATTCAATTAAAGGCCCTGGTAAAGAATCTTTACTCTGGATGGAAGGCCCAACAGACCGCCTTTCAAACATTAAAAGCTAAGCTTTCATCAGCCCCAGCTTTGGCCTTACCAAATTTAGAAAAACCTTTCACTTTATATGTAATAGAAAAACAGGGACAAGCTTTGGGAATTCTTACCCAGAAATTAGGAAATGAAACAAAACGGGTGGGCTATTTTTCAAAGTCACTTGATAATGTGGGTGGCTGGCTTGTCTTCAAGCAGTGGCTGCAACAGCCCTCCCGGTAGAAGCAGCTTCAAGACTTACTCTGGGACAATTCTTGATGGTGATGACTCCACATCAGGTCCAAAGTGTCCTAGAGACCAAAGGCCACCAATGGATAACAGGATACCGACTTACTAAATACCAGGCTATGCTTTTAGACATACCTGAAATAATACTGAAAGCCTATCAAACTTTATGCCTGGACCTGATCATCCTACGTCTATGCTAGAACATGACTGTTCAGAGATTATCGATCTTGTTTTTTCTGGCAGACCAGATTTAAAAGATTCCCCTATTGAAAATGCAGATGACAGTTGGTTTACTGACGGCAGCAGCTTCATGGATAAGGGAAAAAGAAAAGCCAGATACGCTATGGTTAGCTTAGCTAAGACCACTGAGGCAAAAGCCCTTCCAGTAAATACTTCCGCTCAAAAGACTGAATGAATAGCACTTACCCATGCTCTTCAATGGCAAAAGGCCTAAAAATGAATATTTATACTGACTCCAAATATGCTTGCCTGGAGCTACATGCCCATGGGGAAATTTGGAAGGAAATGGATTATGATTACTATCAAGCCATAACTCCCCGATCAAATATGAGCCTGAAATAATTACTCTTCTTGAGTCTATACATCTATCTAAGGAGGTAGCTGTAATTCACCCCAGAGGACGTCAAAAGAATAGGATCTTGGAATCTAAAGGAAATAATCTAAAGGACCATGCAGCCAAGCAGGCAGCACAAAATAAACAAATATTAAGTCTCATACCAGTTTTAACTCCAGTCAAGTCCATAACTCCGGTCTATTCAGACCAAGAAATTCACATGGCCCAGGAACAAGGAAATTCAAAAAAGGTACAGAACTGGCTTGTTAATGAGGGGGAAATCTTTATATCCAAAAATATCTCATGGAAGGTAATACAGGGTTTACACCAGGCTACTCATTTGGGCAAAAATGCTTTAAAACATTTAGTTAAAAATATATTTGATGGAGTGAATTTAATAGCTATAATAAAACAGATTGCCAATCCTGTATTGTTTGGGCACAAGTAAATCCAGAAGGTGCAGTCCGTGCCCACCCCTACCCCACCCCACCCCCCCGTTTTTGAAACCAGTCCAAGGCCATGGAACATAGCCAGGAGGGGACTGGCAGCTTGATTTCACACAAATGCCTCCTCACAAAGGCTATAAGTTCTTACTAGTGTTTGTTGATACTGTGACTGGATAGATCGAGGCCTTTCCATGTAAAACTGAAAGAGCCACAGAAGAAACCAAAGTTTTGTTGAGAGACGTTATTCCTAGATTTTGCCTTCCACGATCCCTAAAGTGACAGTGGTCCTTCTTTTAATCACACTTTAAAATGACACCTTAGTCTAGAGACCCAGAAAAACTGGGTTACTCTCTTACCAATAGGACTTCTTAGAATGAGAACTGCTCCAAAACAACCTCTAGGACTAAGCCCTTTTGAGTTACTATATGGAAAACCATTTCTTACAGCGGACCTGTTATTAGATGATTATAATACCTTATTAAATTGTTCACTCAAGGCTGGTTTAATTCATGTTACTTAATGGGTATACTGATCACATTCTCCCAAAATCTGACTTTACTATAACTGAAAGTCAATCCCATGTAAGCCCCAGAGACATAGTTTGTTTAAAAGATTGGAAGTCAAATACAGCAGGGGACTTCAACCCAAAATGGAAAAGTCCATATTGGGTTGTATTATGTACTCCCACTGCAGTAATATTAGAGGGACCCTCTTCCTGGACTCATGTACCTCCTTCCGAGGGAACCGATGAACAAACTAATGTGCCTTCTTACTCGTGTGAACCTGTAGAAGATCTCAAACTCTTCCTCAAGCAAGGATTAAAGATGGTCCTTACCACCCACAGAGTTACTTCTTTGTCCAAATTGGACTCAGCTGCTTCCGCCTTCCATAACTCCCCTATAGGTTCCCCGACTGGACAACGTTGACCCATAGGTAGGGACGTCACTGTGCCCCTATTCAACAGGAAGAAGCTATAGAAGATGAGCTCTTCTGCCTTCAACAATCTTAAAGATTTAAGGGTCAGGCTTGTTCGGGGGAGGGGGTGGGGAAATGATGAGAGAATAAAAGGCAAGCTGAGGGCAAAACATGAACTGACACCCACTAAACCCCCTCCCCTTAAGGTGGAATATATATATATATATAAACATTCCTCAGGCACTAGTAACTGCCTAAGAACAAAGGCAGGGGAATAACAAATGGTCAATTGATAAAGATCACAGTCGTGTAGGACACGAAACTCCACTAGACTTTGTAACTGTCTTAATGATTTACAAGAAAAACACAATCTTAATAATAGACCTCCAGGAACCTATAGACTCAATTTCCTGAAGCCCTAAAGTCAACATCGCCTCCATAGGCTAGAAAACCCTATATAATCAGTCACTCCTCACAATCACAATGGAGCTCTTCCTGCCCACGGGTCCTGTCCCTGTGCTAGAATATAAATACCTTTTTGCACCATAAAAGGTCTCTAGAATTCTTTCTTGACCATTGGGCTCAACTATCCTGCATCAGAGTCACTTAGCAAATCCTAAACATCTCTCAGTTTATCACTGTGCACCATTGACATAGTTCAGGCCTTTCTCCTTTGTCAACAGATCTGCTGTAAATACTGCTCTGCCCCCCGGGTCTCTCCCACTCCTTGCAGCCTGCACATGAAGGCCAATTTTTCCAAAAGCCCTCTGATCAAAAGCATTTAATGAAGGTTTCAGAGCTTTCAGAATAAAATCTCGATCTAGCTCCTGCCTGCCTACTCTGACCTCGCTGCCTGCACCCTCCCCGTCCCTAGCAACATGCAATTTCTAGGTGTGACATGATCTTTCCTCTCCTAGCCTGGTAGCTGCTTGTCCCTTGGCCTCAAGTTCTCGTTCTCTTCTTTAGCAGGATCGCTCTAGATCATCCTTGAAGACCACTCTCAGACTTTTACTTTCTTTGGAAAGGCATCCCTGATCTTGAGACTTAATTCCCAATTCTTTCTCATCATGCTGCACCACTCCCCCGGCACAGCTAATCTGAACTTTACTGTCTCAGTTGTTTAATTCATTTTATGGGCACTTTTTGACACAGTGAAGGATTTGCCAGCAGAAGGTCTGATATCAAGGTGCTCCGTTTTAAATGATTGAGTGAAATAGACATACGGTGTCATGCTTCCTTGCCTGCCTACTCTTGCTCAGAGCCACATTCCTTCAGCCCGCTCTCCTGCTAATTTACATACATCAAAACCATTCTCAAACCACCTATCCCATAGTGTCTATAGGTACATCTCCTCCCTGTCTCTCTGCTGATTGTAAGCGCTTTGAGGGCAGAGACCGAGTCTTGTGCTCCTTGCCCACACTGGGTTCTCAAAAAATAAATGGATGATCGATTGGTTGGTGTTGGGACCATTGGAAAACCCACAGGTGGACACATAAGCACAGTAACAACAAACTCGTCTATGATACAGACACGAAGCTTAGTCCTTCCTGGTGGATGTGATGTGCATACTCAGCAGGAACTAAAGGGGCCTGCCGACAGTGACTGTGTCTGCCACCAGAAGCACAGATGTTGTTAGGACAGCCTTGTGTACCTCAAGCTGAGCCAGCAGAAAGGGGAGCTCATACCGATCCTGAGGCTCACACACCATGGTACTGGGCTGTCAGAGCCCTTCCCTGGCTTTCATAATGTGTAGATATAATAGGAGAATAATCACAGCAAGAATAAAGGACTAAGGGGCACCTGGGTGGCTCGGTCGTTAAGCGTCTGCCTTCAGTTCGGGTCATGATCCCAGGGTCCTGGGATCGAGCCCCGCATCGGGCTCCCTGCTCCATGGGAAGCCTGCTTCTCCCTCTTCCCCACATGTGTTCCCTCTCTCACTGTGTCTCTCTCTGTCAAATAAATAAATAAAATCTTAAAAAAAAAAAGAAGAAAGGACTAAGTGAACTACTTGGGACCTTTGCCTATTCGTCATCCCCAGCTTATAAAGAAGTCTCAGCAAGTCAACTCTTCGCTCACATATAATAAAAGAGCCTGCCCCTCACTAGACTGAAGAACGGGGGGACTTCCTCCGGGCAAGAGCAATAGCAGAGATATGTGAATATGTTCAAACAGGGGATGTGAACATTCTTATAGGAGGAAATAGTAGTAAATAATTACATAAACCTAGAGCCAGTTGGAGTAATGGAAAGAATAGCAGTCGACGAAGACCAAAAGATCAGGTTTCTGGTCTTGGCCATCGGCTGAGCCAAAAGCCAGTTTATCTCTTGGAACCCGGATTTTCTCACATGCAGAATGCATCATGGGGCTCTAGATCTCAATATTCCTTCCAATTCCAATATTCTTTAGCTAGGAATATATTTTCCCCACCAAGATTTATTTGTGGCCCACACCAAATAGTTGCTGCCATCAGTGGTTTTGAGAAGACAGCTAGCAAGGCATTTAGTTCTGTTTTCTGGCAATTTAAACTCTTCTTCATTTTCACCAATAAATACGTAATTGAGGAGATCCACAGCCCATGAGGCAAGTCAGTCAGATACACATACACAACCACGTCTGCTTCTCCCACCGCTGAGCTGAAGGAACACAGATCTTGGCGGCCCGGGTCCCCTTGCCCCGCAACTTACTTACTTTGGGAGTGAAGGGGCTCTCACAATGCAGCGGCTTGCTCCTGCCTTCTGGCTGGGCTGGGGTCTCTGGACCTTTGCCAGAGCCTGACACTGGAGTCCTCAAAACCTGTTCCGGACTCATCTTGCCTTTTGCCTGAAGGGGGCCGACTTCATGGACTCTACTAAGGGGAGGCCTGGGGGGTGTGAACTCTGCCTCTGAGTCCTGAGCTTCAGCCCTGTCTGCGGTGTGGCTCGGGGCCTCCCTGCTCCCCTCTGCCTCCTTCTGCCTTTCACTCTCACTGTCTTCTCCACAGTGGGGAAAGTTCAACTTCTGCTTTAGTTCTTTGTTAATACTGCTGTCCTCCATCGCAGCCAGAGAGCTTCACGGAGCAGGCGAGGCCTATCAGACGGGAGCACTGCAGAGCTGCAGCAGTAAGGAGGAGAAAAGACTGTGAGCTGGCAAGGCCCCCCAAGCCCCCCCCCCCGTCTTTCCCTCTGCCCACTCACAGCTACACAGAGCCACGCCATTAATTTGCTCCCTTAAGTACCACATATCTGTAAGACCTCAGCTTCCCCTTACTTCCAGTCTGATTAAAGAAAGCTCCAGTGACCCTTGGAGCAATTAAATCCAATTTATGTATAGAACTCTTCGGGATATCCCATATAGTCTCCCTCGACCCATGTGCTACAAGATACTGGTGAGATAGTTGGATTCCTCTAATTTAGCACAGCTTTAAAAAATACCCGCTAGCCAATTTAGGAACAAGCTCATTACTGGAAAGAAATCATTTTCACCCGTTTCTGCCTACCGTTTAGAAACATCATGCTCTCCTCTCTCCTCCATGCACCCAGTGGCTAACCGCAGTTAATTAAACTCAGCATCACCGGGATAGCATAATCATCCTTAAAGAGCCACTGACTTATCTTGGCTGGGGTTCATCTCCGTAGCAGAGGGACACCTTAGATTCCTGCCAGGCACACCTGCCCGAATTCAGTCATTGCACGCCCTCTACCCACCCACCCCCAGGTATCAGCAGTTAAAACTTTTAGGGAATAGGACAATTTTCTAAACTGACGAAAGCCTGGAAAGATCAGCGACACCTAGAAGCCGGTATGTATCACATGAAAATGGCAATTACTTTGCCCCGAAATGCCTTATTTTGTTAAAAAAAAATTTTTACCGTTTAATATACAGTATTTAGTATTTACAGTATTTAAATTATTAATACGGTATTTACAGCGTTTAAATCATTTAATTTCTTTCTTGGAGGGGCTGCTTGAGTAAAAAACTCTGAAGAAAAAAAAAGCCACCGGTATCACTTTATAGGAGAAACCGTGTGAAAGCCCATTCACGGAAAAGGAAAATGATACACAGGAGCCCTCCTGTACCCTCAGGGGGGAGTCTAGAGGTGCTGGACACATGGAATTAGTTACATGATAAACGTGGGTGGAAGAGAGGCATACTGAGGATATATTTTTTAAATATTTTATTTATTTATTTATTTGACAGAGACACAGCGAGAGAGGGAACCCAAGCAGGGGGAGCGGGAGAGGGAGAAGCAGGCTTCCCGCCGAGCAGGGAGCCCGATGCGGGGCTCGATCCCAGGACCCTGGGACCCTGACCTGAGCCGAAGGCAGACGCTCAACGACTGAGCCACCCAGGCGCCCCGGTACTGAGCATATTTTGATCTTGGCTGAAACAAAGTTAATTTCTCTTATAGTCTTTGGTTACTCGTTGCCCATCACCTGTCTTCCATTTCCTCTCTCTCCGTTAATCCCTCCATGCCTTTCTCCTCTCCCAGTCTTTCCCGTCTCTGACCTGAACTCATGAGGACGTTCATCCAAATGAAAACTAACTGGGAGGATGTGAAAGCATTTTTTCAGCTAAAAGCCTTCTCAGGCTCCAGCTTTATGTAGGTGTGCACACCACCAGATCCTTCCTTTGCCCTTCCCTAGCCCATCCCACCCACGCTGACCTTCCCAAATCATTCCACGGGAAACCCTGTTGCCCATAGCAGGCAGAAGCTCACTGCCCACCTCTGTCAGGGTCTCCCCATCCCACAGGGGCCAGAGACAAGAAAGTCATCACCAGGGAAAGGAGAACTCAGGTTACAAGTAAAGAAATTGCTATGAACTGAGATTCTGGAGTTGGGAGTGAGTTCCTTGTTCGCAACTATCACAGCAGGCCATGTGATTTTATTCCTTTGCTACAGCCTGGATGTTGACCAGTGTCCCCGTCTCAGGCCATGAGGTGGGGAGGATACTTCCAATCTGGATACTCCTAATTTAGAATGAGGGGAATTGGGTGGTTGCTGACCCTGATGGCCCAAGGGGATGCCCGGAAGCATGCATCTTGCCTCTGGCCAACAGCCTCACTATTTGGGGTGTCACGCCTCACCCTTGTTCTTTGTTCTCAGTTTTCTGCACATTATGAAGAATTCTCTCTTTGAATTTGAGAAACAAGACAGAGGATCATAGGGGAGGGAAGGGAAAAATGAAACAAGATGAAAACGAAACCAGAGAGGGAGACAAACCATAAGAGACTCTTAATCTCAGGAAACAAACTGAGGGTTGCGGGAGTGGAGGGGGGTGGGAGGGATGGGGTGGCTGGTGATGGACATTGGGGAGGGTATGTGCTACGGTGAGCGCTGTGAATTGTGCAAGGCTGTTGAATCACAGACCTGTACCCCTGAAACAAATAATACATTATACGTTAATAAAAAAATAAATTAAAAATATTCCCTCCTTGCTTCAGTGCGTGTTAATATCCTCGGCATCTATCCCAGGCAAACAGCTTCACATCATGAGACGAGGGGTCAAAGGGGAACGCAGATAATCTGTGGCAATAAAGGGAAAAGAGGGATTTTTTTCCCTTAATGCCTGACACGTAATGGGTGTTCCCTAAGTCATTTTTGAATGGACTTGGGAAAGTAAAGTTAATATATCTCAGTTTTGTTTCGAATACTCAGTGTTTGACTTTTTTTTTTAAGATTTTATTTATGTATTTGACAGAGAGAGACACAGCGAGAGAGGGAACACAAGCAGGGGGAGCGGGAGAGGGAGAAGCAGGCTTCCTGCCGAGCAGGGAGCCTGATGCGGGGCTCGATCCCAGGACCCCGGGATCATCACCTGAGCCAAAGGCAGATGCTTAACAACTGAGCCACCCAGGCGCCCCAGTGTTCGACTTTTTGAAAGTTTGAATATTTTTCTTATTGTTTCAGGCGTTGCTGCGTGGAGAAAAGCAACATTCCCAAGGAGTAAGATGTAGAAGGCGGAAGGCAGCTTTGCATCTCAGGGCTGAGATCCCTAAGCCTGGTGTTGGGGGAAGCTCTCTCCCACTGCTGAGTGATGAGAAAGCTAGACTCAGAGCCCCACTCTGACCCCACGTTGGTGCTGAGGCCTTTGAAACACCAATGGGAAGAACAGAAGCAAGAAAGTCTATCCATTCAAATTGGTTTCGAAGAGGTAGAAACTCATACTCAGCTTTGAGGTAGACTGTTCCTTTGCAAAAGTGAAGTTAAGGCCATGGAAAATCAGTTATTTGTTTGGGAGTCTGTGGCTCCAAGGAAGGACATGCTGGCGTCATTATTCCCCTAGGAGGGAGAATTGTGAAAAAAAAAAAAATGCATGAACAAGCCAAAACGAAGCTCTAGCACATTATTTACTGAAGACTGAATTAAGACTGAGTCATTCCAGACCCTGAAAAATACCAGTATTGGATTATGGTATATTTGTTGAGGCTGCCCCACAGGACCCATTGGGAGGTCTGGGTTCCCAAGCAAGAAAGGGACATTTTTGGGCGCCTGGGTGGCTCAGTTGGTTGAGCGACTGCCTTCGGCTCAGGTCGTGATCCTGGAGTCCCGGGATCGAGTCCGCATCGGGCTCCCTGCTCGGCACGGGGTCTGCTTCTCCCTCTGACCCTCCCCCCTCCCGTGCTCTCTCTCTCATTCTCTCTCTCAAATAAATAAATAAAATCTTTAAAAAAAAAAAAAAGAAAGGGACATTTTTCCCTCTGAGGCCTTCTGGGAAGCTGGCAGGCTCCAGGACAGGAAGCAAAGACTTGAAGAGGGCTGGGGCTGCAAGCAACGTTCTGGGCCTCGGACTGTTGGGCTTGGACTCTCAAGACTAGAGACAAACCTGAGGGAAGTCCAGGGTGGTGGAGGGGAACGTTGGCCTTGATTACCAGAACGTGCCCTTGGGAGACAACAGTGCAGTGGTCAGCGTTCTCAGACTAGGGCCTGCGGGCCTCGCGGACTCGGGGAGGAATCCTCTCTAGCTCACTGAATTAAACCAGAGGACTACACAGCATCTCTGAGGTCCCTGCCCGCCCCAGTCCCGTATTCTTCCTTCTCCTTAACTAGCTCAGTGTCTCATCACAACCGGAAGTGTTGCTTCATCCCCGCAGAGGGAAGTATGCAGTAACTTAGACAAGAGCAGACGATGTTCATCAGCAACCGACATTCACCAGCTCCCAGGGCAAATCCACCAGCAGCCGTGATCTGTGTGGGCCCACAGCAGCACAGCATCTCAGGTGCTCCTGACTCCTCTCCCAGCCCAGGGTGTTCAGCAAGCCCAGGAGCCTTGAAGGGGACCTTCTCTTGACCTCCTCCCCGCACCCTCAAGAGAGAGTGCACAGAAGCAGACACCTGTCACTGGCAGGGAATCCGGTGATTATTCTATAAATCATTAACAATACTTTACATTTGGCCTTCCACGTTTCCCGTTTCCAAGTGCTTACACAGCTGTATCTACTAAGCAGCATTGACAGCAGAACGGAATTCCAAGGAAAGATGGTGGGCTGAGTAAGATAAAGCCTGGAGGTCATTTTAAAGCCTCATTAATTCTTCTTGTTTTGCTTTTTCTTGTGGAAATGTTCAAACATACCAAAAGTAGAGAAAATACAGTGGAATGAGTCTCCATGTATCAGTAGTGTAGCTTCAAAAATTATGGGCAGCTGTAAAATCTTGTTTCATTTGTATCTGTAATTTTGTTGGAGGGGGTGGGTACTGGAGTTTTTTTTTAAGCAAATCACTGATAACGTCGTTTCACTCATGAAGACTTTAGTGCCATTAGCAAAAATCCTCAGAGTCATCTATTCTCTTCAAATCTACCATAAATCTACCTGATGAATAAATCAGATTCTAACAAACTGCTTCTCTTGCCAAGATGTCCCATTTGCTAAGACTAGAGGATGTCTGTCAAAATAGCTTTTATAATAGAGACATACTCCTTGTCCACTCACAAAGATGTGGTACTCTTCTTGGAACAAGAACAGATTGCTAACGTGACATCCCAATAATTTAGAGACCATTGATGTACTGCCCATGTTTTAAGGAGCAGGTAGTTTGAAACTACGGTCTAGACTCA